TAGCCTCCTGCCAGTCTCAGTGTGACGGACACGGACAGAGTTTGATGCGAGCTCTGGCTCCCTGTCCCAGTCTCTGATCTCACTGACCCCAGCAGCAGCACAGTGAGACACCGAGTTCCCACCTCCCCCAGCTTTAACTCTACTCAATCACACACTCACTGAATTGTTACAGTGCACAAGGAGGCCATTCCGCCCATCCTGTCTGGACCGGCTATCTGAATGAGCAATTCACTGAGTGTCATTCTCCTGCCTTTTCCCTGTCACCCTGCACATTGTTACTTTTCAAATAACAGTCTCATTCCCTTCGGAACGTTTCATTTGAAGCTGCCTCCACCACACTCTCAGGCCGTGCATCCCACACCTTAACCACTCGCTGGCTGAAAATGTTTTTCTCCATCTCACTTTTGCTTCTCTTATCAATTACTTTTAATCTGTGGCCTCTCGCTTTCAATTTTTCACAAGTGGCAACATTTTCTCCCCATTTACTCTGTCCAGCCCCCTCCTGATTTTGAATACCTCGAATACCTCTCGGCCCTCTCTTCTCCAACGAAGTCCAAACTTCTCTAATGAACTTCATAATGACGTCCCTCATCCCTGGATCCATCTTTGGGAATATATTTTGCTGTGTCTACAAAACATTTGCATCCTTCCTGAATTATTCACATTTTCAATGCCCAGCATGATTTTATAAACCTCTATAAGGTCACAGGTCAGCCTCCTACGCTTCAGGGTAAAATGTCATAGCCTTACCAGCATCTCATAGTCATGCAGTCATACAGCATGGAAACAGACCCTTCAGCCCAACTCGTTCACACCAAGCTGATATCCTAAACTGATCTCGTCCCATTTGCCAGCATTTGGCCCATATCCCTTAAAGCCTTCCTATTCATGTACCCATTCAGATGTCTTTTAGGAATGCTGTAATTGTAACATCCTTCACCACCTCCTCTGGCAGCTCAATCCATATGCACACCACCCTCTGCGGGAAAAAGCTACCCCACAGGTCCCTTTTGAATCTTTCCCCTCTCACCTTAAGCCTAGGCCCTCTAGTTTTGGACTCCCCTTCCCAAGGAAAAGACCTTGGACATTTACCCTATCCATGCCGCTCATGATTTTATAAACCTCTATAAGGTCACGCCTCGGCCTCTGATGCTCCAGGGAAAATAGCCCCAGCCAATCAGCCTCTCCCTATAGTTCAAAACCTCCAACCCTGACAACATCTTTGTAAATCTTTTCAGTACCCATTTAAGTTTAACAATATCCTTCTTATAGCAGATCAGAATTGTTCACATTATTCTAAAAGTGGCCACATCAATCTCCTGTACAGCCGCAACATGATGTCCCAAATCATATACTCAATGCAGTGACCTATAAAGGCAAGCGTGCTAAACGCATTCTTCATCACCCTATCTCCCTGTCACTCCACTTTCAAGGAAAAATGCACCTGCATCCATAGATCTCTGTTCAGCAACACTCCACATTGCCCTCCCATTAACTGTCCTGCCCTGGTTTGCCTTTCCAAAATGCAACACCTCACATTTATCTAAATTGAACTCTGGCTTCCACTCCTCCACACATTGCCCCATCTGATCAAGGTCCCATTACTCTGAAATAATCTTCTTCACTATCCACTGTACCACCAATTTTGGTGTCATTTACAAACTTATTAACCATACCTCCTATATTCACATCCAAATAGTTTATTTAAATGATGAAAAGCAGTTGACCCAGCACCAATCCTTGCAGCACACCACTAGTCACGGACCTCCAGTGCGAAAAGCAACCCTCTACCACCACTCTCTGTCTCCTATCTTCAAACCAATTTTGTATCCAAATGGCTAGCTCTGTCTGGATCCCATGAGATCTAACCTTACTAACCAGCCTACCACATGGAACCATGTGAAACACTTTGCTAAATTCCATGTAGACAATGTTTACTCTTCTGCCTGCATCAATCCTCTTTATCACCCTTTCAAAAAACCTCAGTCAAGTTGCTGAGACATGATTTCCTGTGCACAAAACAACATTGACTATCCCTAACCAGACGTCGCCTTTCCAAATGCATGTAAATCATATTTCTCAGAATCCTTTCCAACAATTTACTCACCACTGACATCAGGCTCACCAGTCTAAAGTTCACTGGGCTTACTTTGCAGACTTTCTTAAATAGTAGCACAACATTAGCCACCCTTGAGTCTGTCATCAGCTGACCTGTGGCTGTCAATGATACAAATATCTCAGCAAGGGGCCCAGCAATCACTTTCCTAGCTTCCCACAAAGTCTGGGGATACACTTGATCAGGTGCCAGAGATTTATCTACCTTTATGCATTTTAAAAACTCCTCTTCTGTCATGAGGACTTTTGTCAAGACCTAACTATTTATTTCCTCAAGTTCCTCAGTTTCCGTTCTTTCTCCATGATAAATATTGAGACAAAATATCCATTTAGGATCTCACCCATCTCCTATGGCCCCACACATAGGTGGCCTTGTTCACCTTTAAGGGACCCTATTCTCTACCCACTTACTCTTTTGCCCTTTCCTTATTCAACATTATTCTATCACTTTTGCCCTCAAAAGAGCTCAGGAATTTTTTGCCCTCCCTCAAATATACATTGGCTGTCCCAGAACTACATCCCCTATTATTCACCTCAGGACTTTCCTGCCAACCTTTGACCCCAGTTGGTTCAGACCTGATGTGTCCTTACCTCATGGAATTGGCACTTTCCCCAGTGAGTCATTTTGACCCTGAAATGGCCTTTGGTCTTTTCCACTGCCACCCTAAACCTTGTGATACAATGATCACTCTTCCCTAAATGACCTCTCACTGACACTTGATCTACTTGTGCCTCCATCATTCCCAAGATTCAGGTCTAGCAGATCCTCCTTTCTCATTGGACTGGAAACACACGGCTGGAGAAAATTCACCTGAACACACTCTCACAACTCTGGCCACTCTCTGCCCTTCACACTTCTACTATCCCAGTCTATATTCGGATAATTAATGTCCTCCATTATAACATAGAACATAGAGCATAGAACAGTGCAGCACAGTACAGGCCCTTCGGCCCACAATGTTGTGCTGACCTATTATCCTACTAAGATCAATCTACCCTGCATACCCAACATTTTACTATCCTTCATGTGCCTATCCAAGAGTCGCTTAAAAGTCTCGAAAGTATCTGACTCCACTACCACTGCCGGCAGTGCATTCCACATGCCCACCACTCTCTGTGTGAAGAACTTACATCTGACATCTCCCCTACACCTTCCTGCAGTCACCTTAAAATTATGCCCCCTCGTAATAGTCATTTCCGCCCTGGGAAAAAAATCTCTGACTATCCACCCTATCTATGCCTCTCATTATCTTATAAACCTCTATCAAGTCACCCCTCATCCTTCTTCGTTCAAATGAAAAAAGCCCTAGCTCCCTCAACCTTTCCTCATAAGACCTGCCCTCCAGTCCAGGCAGCATCCTGGTAAATCTCCTCTGCACCCTCTCCACAGCTTCCACATCCTTCCTATAATGAGGTGACCAGAACTGAACACAATATTCCAAGTGTGGTCTAGCCAGATTTTTGTAGAGCTGCAGCATAACCTGGCTGCTCTTAAACTCAATTCCCCTGCCAATGAAAACCAACACAATACCCCTTCTTTACAACCCTATCAACTTGGGTAGCAACTTTGAGGGATCAATGGACATGGACCCCAAGATCCCTCTGTTCCTCCACACTGCCAAGAATCCTGCCATTAATCCTGTATTCTGCATTCAAATTTGACCTTCCAAAATGAATCACTTCACACTTTTCTGGGTTGAATTCCATCTGCCACGTCTTTGCCCAGCTCTGCATCCTGTCAATGTCTATAACAACTCTGCAATGTTTGCAGCTCTCTGTAAATTCCTCACAGATTTGTTCCTCTACATCCTTCTCACTGGTGACCTATAGACTGCACTGAGGATTCTGTGGACCTTGGTGTTCCTCTCTGATATTCCCTCCTGGTTCCCATAGCCCTGCCAAGTTAGTTTAAACCCTCTCCAACAGCACTAGCAAATCACCCCATAAGGAACTCAGTCCCAGCTCTGTTCAGGTGTAAGCAGTCTGTCCATTTCCCACCCCCCCAGAGCCAGTCCCAATGTCCAAAGAGTCTAAAGCCCTCCCTCCTGGAACCTCTTTCCAGCCCCACATATACCTCTCTTACCCTCCTGTTCCAATTCTCACTTGTGTGAGGCACTGGGAGTAACCTGGAGATTCATAGTTTTGAGCTCCTGCTGCTAATTCCCTGCCGATCTCCCTAAATTCTGACTGCAGGACCACATCCCTTTTCTCCCTCTGTCACTGAGACTGATGTGGACCACGACTGCTGACTATTCCCCTTCTCCCCTCAGGGTGCTCTGCAGCTGCTCAGTGACATCCTTGACCCTGGCACCAGGGAGACAACACACCGTCCTGGATTCCCATCTGCAGCTGCAGAAACACCTATCGATGGCTCTCGCTCTCGAATCCCCTCTCACTATCGCTCTTCCAGTCTTCCTTGTGCCCCCCCACTCCCCGGACAGCTGAGCCACCCGTGGTGCCATGGGCTTGGCTCTGGCTGCACTCCCCAGATGAACCATCATTCCCATCAGGATTCCGAACTGAATCCTGGTTGGAGAGTGGGATACACTCAGGGGACCCCTGTACTAGCTGCCTGGCTCCCCCATTCCCTCTCTCCCTGCATACTCTGAAGCTGCGGAGTGACCACATCTAGAAACATGCTCTCCACGGAGCTCTCAGCCTCACGGACTCTCTGCACTGACACCAGCTGCTGCTCAAGCTCCGAAACCCGGAGCTCCAACTGCTGTCACTGACCACACTTCCTGCACTCATGGTATTCCAGGAGCCGGGAAACATCCTGAAATTACCGCATGGACTAGGATGCACACTCTCTCCACTCCCTGGTTATCTCTTGGCAAAGTTCTGATGACAAACAGCTAGAGCAGGGCTCACAATCCAGTGCTTTCAGTGTTCTGGACAAACTCTCCAGAAGACTTTAAGGTATAGGAGCAGAAATCAGCCATTCAGCCCATTGAGTCTGCTCTGTATTTTGATCTTGGCAGATATGCTTCTCAATCTCATTCTCCTGCCTTCTCCATGGAACATTTGATACTTTTTCAATTAAAAATCTACCTATCTCTGTCTTAAATACAGTCACCGACTTGGCCTCCACACCCCTCTGTGTCAATGCATTCCACGGATTCACCTCTTTCTGGCTGAAGAAATGCCTTCTCCTCTCAGCTCTAAAGGGTTGTCCCTTCACCCTGAGGCTATGCCCTCGGGTCCCAGCCTCTCCTACTTGTGGAAACATCTTCGCCTCGTCCACTCTATCCAGACCTCTCAGTATTCTGTAAGTTTCAATCAGAACCCCTCATCCTTCTAAACTACATAGAGTACAGACCCAGAGACCTCAACCACTCCTCATATAACAAACCCTTTATTCCTAGCATCATTCTTGTAAACCTTGTCTGAATCCCTCCAATGCCAACACGTTGTTCCTTAGAACATGTGTCCCAAAACTGCTCACAATATTCAAAATATAGTCTGACCAGAGCCTTATACAGCCTCAGCAGAACATCTCTGCTCTTACATTCTAGCTCTGTTGAAATGAATGCTAACAATGCATTTGCCTTCCTAACCACCAACTGAACCTACATGTTAACCTATCGAGAAATCTGAACAAGGACTCCTGAGTCCCTTTGTGCTTCAGATTTTCAAAGCCTTTCCCCATTTAGAAAATAATCTTTGCATCTCTTCTTCCTACCAAAGTGCAAAACCTCGCATTTTGTATTGTATTCCATCTGCCATTTCTTTGCCAACTCTCCGAGCCTGTCCAGGACCTTTTGCAGCCTTCCCAGTTCCTCAACACTACTTGTCCCTCCCACCTATCTTTGTGTCATCTGCAAACTTTGCAACAAAGCCTTCTGTTCCTTCATCCAGATCGTTTATGTATAACGTGAACAGTTGTGGCCCAAACACTGGCCCCTGCAGAACTTCACTAGTCACCGGCTGCTATTTATCCCCACTCTCTGCCTTCTGCAAGTCTGCCAATCCTCTGTCCATGCCTGGACCTTGCCGCTAACACCATGGGCTCTTGTCTTATGTCGAAGGCCTTCTGGAAATACAAACAGATCACATCCACTGATTCTCCTTTGTCTAACTGGTTCATTGCCTCCTCAAAGAATTCTAACAGATTTGTCAAGCATGATCTCCCATTGATGAACCGGTGCTGACTCAGTCTTTTTTTTACCATTGCATTTCCAAGTCCTCTGCAATTTCATCTTTAAATTGAAGTGTAAAATCTTACCAACAACTGAGTCCAGGCTAACTGGCCTATAATTTCCCATCTTCTGTCTCCCTCCCTTCTCAAACAGGGGTATTACGTGAGCCATTTTCCTGTCTTCCGAACCCACTCCCCTGCCCTGACTCCATTAATTCCAGATGCCTCCACATCTCCAATGCCTCCACAATCTCCTCAGTGATCTCCTTCAGAACTATCTAGTGTAATCCATCCAGTCTGAGTGATTTATCCACTTTCAGCTTCACACATGCAACTCTTTCCCTGAGGCTGGAATCTCCTGATCCTGACCCTCGCACCTTTCAGGGGTCATGGGGTCATTGGGAGCAGTGACCCTGTCTGACACCAGGACACTGAGAACCCATTGCAGACTCACCCTTGACCTCAGCCCAGTGCTGGGCAGCAACATTCCAAATGAATCTAGAATCTTCTACACAGACACCCAACATGATTCCTTCCTGAAGTACGTTGATCCCAGTCTGCTCCAATGTTCTTGGATAAGTTCTGCCAATCCGTGAGTGATCAGAGGTTTGTTAAAGAGATATCGAGCTCCATCCTACTTTCCAACACTTGCTCCGTAGCTTTGGAGGTTTTAGTGTTTCAAGTGAATATCTAAGTGTTTTTTCAAAGTGATGAGGATTTCTGCCTCTCCCACACTTTCAGACAGTGAGTCCCAGATCCCATCAGCCTCTGGGTGAAAATATTACTTCTTAATTCCCGTTGAACCCTGTCCCCAATTCATTTCAGTCTCTCCCCATGGTTATTGCCTTCTCTGCTGATGGAAAACAGTCCTTCCTATTCACTCTACCCAGGCCCCCCACCATTTTACACACCCCCATCAGATCTCCCCTTAATTTCCTCTGTTCCAAAGAAAACAGTCCCAGCCTATCTAATCATTCCTCAAAGCTAAAACTCCCCATTCCTGACAAAATCCTCATTCCATCAAGGAATAAAGAAAAAAAGTTACCCCACTTGTCTTCTTAACCACCTTACTTACCTGTATTCATGAAGCACATGGTCACGTCTTCCACCTCCACACAGGGGTTACTTCCAGATTCAAATTGACGAGTGACTTTTCTTCATATCAGAGAAACAGATAAAAACAATGTACATAGGAGCAGGGAGTAGGCCATTCAGCCCTTCAAGCCTGCTTCACCATTCAGTATAATCATGGTTGATCATCCAACACTGTACCCTGTTCCTGCTTTCTCCCCACATCCTTTGATCCCTTTAATCCTTAAACCTAAATCTAATTCCTTCTTGAAAACATTCCCCATCTAATTCTCTCATGCTAGAAAAATGGATGAGAATAGTTGGATTGTTGTTTTTGACCAGCATGGACATGATAGGCTGAAGGGCCTTTTTCTGTGCTGTAGGTCACTATGACTCTATTATTCTATATTGTGAATAGCTGGGGAACAAGCACTGATGCCTGTGGTACCCCAACTGGTAACTACCTGCAATTCAGGCAAAGACCCATTTATTGCGAATCTCTGTGTCCTGCCTGCCAACCAGTTCTCTATTCATGTCAGTACCCGACCCCCAATCTCTTGTTCTTTCTGTGTTTATAAAACACCGTTGGGATTTCCCTTATTCATTTGGACATATTCCATCCTGTCAGCTCTTTGCTTTTAATTTCATTCGCGCACTTTCTAATCTCCTCTTGGCTTTGTGCATGATTGAACTCCGGGTCCAACATCACCTTCCCTGTTTGGTCTTCCTTACTCTGGCTGCTTTCTCACATCCTGGACTGAGAGTCTGGATTTGGGAATCCCACCCTTACTCTTTGTGGGAACAGATTCTGAACGATCTCTGCTTTGTCCTTGGAGGCCTCCCACTGCCCTGACACTGTTTTCCCATCAAGTCGCTGTTCCAGTCCCCTTTTACCAAATCACCGCACAGTTTCGTAAAATGGTTCATTCTCAAATGAAAACTTTCACACATGCTCCACGGTTCCCCATTTCCATCCCTACTGTCAATCTCACTGAGTTCTGATCACTGTCACTAAAATATAGTGACGATAACCGACGACCTGTCCTGGACTTCCCATGTAGATGCGACAGTCAAGAAGGCACAACAACGCCTCTTCTTCCTCAGGCGGCTCAGGAGATTTGGCATGTCCATAAGGTCCCTCACTAACTTCTACTGATGCACCATTGAAAACAAACTGTCTGGGGACATATTGGCAACTTCTCTGCGCAGGACCATAAGAAACTACAGAAGGTTGTGCGACAGCCCAGACCATCACAGAAGCCAATCTTCCATCCATAGACTCCATTTACACAGCTTGCTGCCGCAGAAAGGCTGCCAACATCATCAAAGATCCATCCCACCAGAAACCTGAATACATGCAGGAGCAGGTTCAGGAACAGCTTCTTCCCAGCCATTATCAGATGGATGAATGGACTCTCTAGATTCAAATAGAGCTGATCTTGCTAACATGCCCTGTGCAATGTAACCTTTATGCTTCTGTCTAAGTTTTTCTGATCTGTACATTCTTTGCTTACTATGATCTGCCTGTACCGCTTGTAAACAAAGCTTTTCACTGTATTTCAGTACATTGGACAATCAATCAATCAATCAATAGCCCTTCCAGCTGCCTACATTCATTCTCTAAACGATGGTCCAAAACTGTCCCTTCTCTTTCTGCTGCTTCACCATCACCTTCTCAGGAGCAATTAGGGATGGGCAATAATTGCTGGCCCTGCCAGTGACACTCACATCCCAAGAAGCAATTTAAACAATGCCTGTTCTTTTGTCGGGTTTGTTAGTTTTTGGCTACAAATATTCAAATGAATTGTTTTGCCAATCAATGTTTGATAAGTTCAAATCTCTTCAAATGGCATGTATTAAACTTGCTTCTCTTGTCTTTCAGGCCGTGACAGGTCTCAGCCCAAGCTGACCCTGCTACCCCCCTCCCCGGAGCAGGTCCAGACCAAGGGCACTGCCACCCTGGTGTGCCTTGCCAATCACTTCTATCCCGATGAGCTGGAGGTGCAGTGGAAGAAGGATGGTGTAGTCATTTCGGACGGGGTTCAGACCAGCAACTACCTGCGAGCTTCGGACAGCACCTACAGTGTCAGCAGCCTGCTGACCCTCTCTGGCTCTGACTGGGAGTCCAACGCTCGCTTCTCCTGTGCTCTCACCCACGTCACACTCTCCTCTCCCCTCAGTAAGACCATCAGGAGATCAGAATGTGTGTAGTGTGTTTGAGACAGTCCACAGAGGAGACATGACTTTAAATAGAACAGGGCTGAGCTGGCAGGACAAAGGTCATTGTCAGCACAGAATTTCAACTCTCTTCCTTCTCGGGACTGGCTCAGAGACACTTCTGAGGTTCAGGGGTTAAGGCACGTCATTGGGACAGTGTAGAGGGAGCTTTCCTCTGTATCTAACCCCATGCTGTCGCTGTCCTGGGAGTGTTTGATGGGGACAGTGTTGACTTGTGATGCCAAGTAAAACCTCTCGAAGATGCTGAAGACTGTCAGCTGCACAAAAACATCCTACTCCTCTGATGCTGCTTGGCCTGCTGTGTTCATCCAGCTCTACACCTTGTTATCTCTGAACCTCAGAAGTCTCTGCTTCAGTAAACCAGACCTCCTTCCTGCTCAGCCGCTAGTTCCAATTTAAGGTTTCGTCATTGTTTAAAGGGACGTGACTCTCATGTTATTGAGAAAATCTCCACAAGTGTTCTCCATTGTGGCTGTGAAATTTGTGCAGCTTCCTCTGTCTGGGCTGTTAATTGCAGTGTCTTTTTCTGTCAATGTCAATGTGGAAAAGGGAATAAAGATGAAGAAGATTCAGTCTCGATCTCTTGAGTGTTTTGGAAATGGGCCACCTCCCTCAGCTGATTGGCTGCATTTCAATTAGTCACTGTCACGATTGGCTACTTAGCATGTCAATCAATGTCACATATCGTTGATTGACTTGAGAGCCAATCAATCAGTTTCAAATAATCCCTTTGACTGGAATTTGTCGAGGTTACAACATTCCAAACAGTACAAAAACTGAAACCTGCTGGGATTCAATCATCACAATCTGAGGTATTCAGTCTTCACTCTGTTGGTCCAGACCCAGCTGGTGGGATCACACTGTGCACTCTCTGCTGGTAACACCTGAAATGATTTTCGGCCAACTACAGATGCTGATGGTGGTGTCTCTCTGAAAGTAGGTGTGCAAGGTCAGAAGTCAAACAATGCCAGGTTATAGTCCAACAGGCTGACAGTGAGACATTGGAATGGTATGTTGCCTCCCTGGAGGCAGGATCAAAAATATCTCAGACAGTACAGGATATTCTCAAAGGGGAGAAGGACCAGCAGGAAATCGTTGTACCTATTAGAACTAACAGCATAGGAAGTGTAAAGGACAAAATCCTGAGGAGAGAATATAGGACGTAAAGCAGGAATTTAAAAAGAGGTCCCCGAGGCTAGTAATATGTGGATTACTTCCGGTGCCACGAGCTCGTGAGGGTAGAATAGGAAGGCATAGACGATGAATGTGTGCCTGAGGAGCTGGTGTAGGGTCATTGGAATCTCTTCTGGGGTAGAAGTGACCTGTATTAGAAGAATGGATAGTACCTGAATTGGAAGGGGACTAATACACTGGCGGGGAGATTTGCTCGAGTGGCTCGGGAGGATTTAAACTAGTAAGGGGCATGGGGTGGGGGTGGTATGTGGCACCCAGGGAGATAGTGAGGAAAGTAATCAGTCTAAGACTGGTACAATTAGGAAACAGAGTAAGTCAAACAGGCAGGGCAGGCAGGAACAAAGTAGAGAGCGAGGTAGGCCTGGAAAATTAAACTGCATTTATTTCAATGCAAGAGACCTAACAGGTAAGGCAGATGAACTCAGGGCATGGTTGGGAACATGGGACTAGGATATCATAACGACTACAGAGACATGGCTCAGGGATGGGCAGGGCTGGCAGCTTAATGTTCCAGGGTATAGATGCTATAGGAAGGATCAAAAGGGGGCCAAGTGAGGAGAGGAAGTGGCATTTTTGATTAGGGATAAAATTATGGATGTGTTTAGGGAGGATATTTCTGGGACTACATCCAGGGAAGTTATTTGGGTGGATCCGAGAAAAAGACAGGGATGGTCATCTTTCTATAGTACAATAGAACCCCTAATAGTCAACGGGAAAGTGAGAAATAAATTTATAAGGAGATCTCAGTTATCCTTATGAATAATAGGGTGGTAATGGTAGGGGATTTTAACTTTCCAAACATAGACTGGGACTACCATTCAAGGGTTTGGATGTAGAGAAAATTGTTAAGTATATACAGGAAAATTTTCTGATTCAGTATGTGGATGTACCTACTAGAGAAGGTGCAAAACTTGACCTACTCTTGGAGAATAAGCCAGGGCAGGTGACTGAGATGTCAGTGGGGGAAAACTTTCGGGCCAGTGACCATAATTCTATTAGTTTTAAAATAGTTATGGAGAAGGATAGACTAGATCTAAAAGTTAAAGTTCTAACTTGGAGGATGGCCAATTTTGATGTTATTAGGCAAGAACTTTCAAAGGTTTATTTGGGGCGGATATTCGCAGGTAAAGGGATGGCTGGAAAATGGGAAGCCTTCAACAATGAGATAACGAGAGCATGTTCCTGTTAGGTTGAAGGGCAAGGCTGATGGATGTAGGGAATGCTGAATGACTAGAGAAATTGATGTTTTGGTCAAGAATACGAAGCCAGGGAACTATAGGCCATTGAGCCTGACATCGGTGGTGAGCAAGTTGTTGGAGGGGTTCCTGAGGGGCAGGATTTACATGTATTTGGAAAGGCAAGGACCGATTAGGGATAGTCAACATGGTTTTGTGCATGGGAAATCATGTCTCACTAACTTGCTTGAGTTTTTTGGATAAGTGACGAAGAGGATTGATGAAGGTAGAGTGGTGGACGTGATCCCTCTGGAGTTCAGTGAGGCATTCGACAAGGTTCCTCATGGTCAGACTGGTTAGCAAAGTTATATCACATGGAGTACAGGGAGAACTAGCCATTTGGATACAGAACTGGCTCAAAGGTAGAAGAGAGAGGGTGGTGGTGGAGGGTTGATTTATGGACTGGAGGCCTGTGACCAGCAGTGCAACAAGGATTGGTTGTGGGTCCACTGCATTTCATCATTTATATAACTGATTTGGATGCGAAAATAGGAGGTATGGTTAGTAAGTTTGCAGATGACACCAAAATTAGAGGTATAGTAGAGAGAGAAGAAGGTTACCTCAGAGTACAATGGGTTCTGGAATAGATGGGCCAATGGGCCGAAGAGTGGCAGATGGAGTTTAATTTAGATAAATGTAAGGTGCTGCATTTCGGAAAGGCAAATCAGGGCAGGACCTATACACTTAATGGTAAGTTCCTAGGGAGTGTTGCTGAACAAAGACACTTTGGAGTGCAGGTTCATAGTTCCTTGAAAGAGGAGTCACAGGTAGACAAGATAGTGAAGAAAGCATTTGCTATCCCTAGCTTTATCTGCCAGTACATTGAGTATAGGAGTTGGGAGGTCATGCTGTGGCCGTAAAGGACATTGGTTAGGCCACTTTTGGAATGCTGTGTGCAATTCTGGTCTCCCTGCTATAGGAAAGATGGTGTGAAACTTGAAAGGGTTCAGAAAAGATTTACAAGGGTATTGCCAGGGTTGGAGGATTTAAGTAGGGAGAAGCTGAATAAGCTGGGGCTAATTTCCTTGGAGTGTCGGAGGCTTAGGGGTGACCTTATAGAGTTTTATAAAATCATGAGTGACATGAATAGAGTAAATAGATTGGGTCTTTTTCTTTTCAATGGTGAGGGAGTCCACAACTAGAGGGCATAGGTTTAAGGTGACAGGGGAAAGATTAAAAAGGTATCTAAGGGATAACTTTAACACACAGAGGGTGGTGCTTGTATGGAATGAGCTGCCAGAGGAAGTGGTGGAGGCAACATTTAAAAGCCATCTGGATATGTATATGAATAGGAAGTGTTTAGAGGGATATGGGCCAGATTCTGGCAAATGGGACTAGATTTATTTCGGACATCTGGTCGGCATGGATGATTTGGACTGAAGAGTCTGTTTCTGTGCTGTATGTCTCTATGACTCTCGGTTTATTTGAAATCATAAGCTTTCAGAGCACTGTCCCATCATCAGGTGAAGTAAAGAAAAGCATGCAGGCACAGAATTTTTTTAGGCAGAGAGATCACTGGGCAGTGAGATCAAATGACCATACAAATAGTGTGAGTGGAGTGTTGATAGGCTGAATAATAAGACTCTGCAGGCAACCAAAGTTGTCAGTCAGTGTGAGTAAGGTGTCAACAGCTGAATAGTAAGTGAAGGCATGATCCATAATCTGATTAATTAAGGCAGAGAGATAATTACAAAACATTTAAAATAAGATGGTGCTGGAGACAAACCAAATGGCTGGCATAACATGACAGATACAAGAGTCGTATGCTGAGGGTCTAAGCAAAGTAACAAGTAATCCAAAAACTGTACAAACTAATTAAAGTAGAGAGATCATTACAAGTTATCAAGGTGATGGTGTCAAAACAGGACTGTAAGGACGATTTTACAAATGCAGAAGAGTGTGGTGGGGTTACATGTGGCAGGACATGAACCCAACATCGCGGTTGAGGGTGTCTTCATGGGTAAAGAACTTTGTTACCAGTTTCTGCTCGGTGATTCTACATTGTTGTGCACCTCAAACGTCGCTTTAGAGGACACTACCAAAGATTGGAGACTGAATGTCTTTGAGCAATGAAGTGTTTCCCGATTGGAAGGGAACATTCCTGTCGGGCAATTGTTGTGCAGTGTCCATTCATCCATTGTCGTAGTTTCTGCATGGTCTAGCCAATATACCATGCCTCAGGGCATTCTTGCCAACATTGGCTGAGTCACATGAGTATCTGCTGTGTATGTGATCTTAGCAACCATGTTGAAAGTTTGTGAGTTCAAATAAACCTGTTGGACTATAACCTGGTGTCGTGCGACTTCTGACCTTGTCTATCCCAGTCCAACACCAGCACCTCCACATCATGAGTGTGAGTGTCAAACTCTGCGCAGCCTGTAGGTGTGTGTGTTACCTTCTGCTGCCTGTAGGTGTTTCTGTGTGTGTGTGTTACTCTGTGCTGCCTGTAGGTGTCTCTCTGAGTGTATCTGTGTTACTCTGTGCTGCCTGCAGGTGTCTCTCTGAGTGTGTGTGTGTTACTCTGTGCAACCTGTAGGTGTCTCT